TGCTAAGGGAGCTACCTCAACAGTGATCGTCAGTGGTTAGGGTGCGGCATGTATTAAGGGGGAAACTGGCAAATACTGTTGCACACTGAACTTAGTGAATTTCGTGCAAAAGTGACCGCCTTTAGTGCTCAAAAGTGAACGGCAAAAAAGAAAATGAACGAGATGATAGTACTATATGGGTCATTTTGATAAATATATCCTAGCTAAGTTTCTTATAGTGGCTTTGTTAGTTTACTACTCATGCACCAGCAACCGTCATTAAGATCGCGAACTCGTACATTTTAATGGCATGTGGCTAATAGAAGCAAAGATATAAATGGGCATTATTACGAATATGTTGCGTTTGATGTGGGGCAACATCATATTCAATCCCGTGAATGAGGCCACGGGACCACTAAGCGTTAGGAGGAACAACTGTGACGAAAATCAAGGTATTGTACGAGTTGGATCAATACCTGTATATAGATCAACAGTATAGTATGAATCACATTGCCATCTCCTTAAATTATTCCTTGATCCATGCAGTGTTTTTCAATCCTCTGGTAGGTGAAGCGCTGAAAGCAAAGCCGGTCGGCTCCATATTGATCTTTTTCTGTCAAATAAAATAAAAATTAACTGCTAAAGCACACTCCGTGTCTAAATCTTTTCAAATTCCAAAGCTTAGGCAGTTTCGCGCATCCCAGTCAGTTATTTCTGCCTTTGTTTCACAGTGTGTTTTCCCCCATTTTACTTCACTGCTCCCCAGTTAGTTTTCCTGGCTTAATCAAACAGGATTTCAAAGTCTTGTGCCACGGGCTAACCATGATTAGTCGTGTCTGTTCTATTCCGGTGAATGAGTTACCATTAAAGCCTTCAGAGTGGCACGGAACTTTGTGTGAGAAATTTGTGGAGGATTCTCCCAGATCCTGACCACCCATTGCACGCAGAACTGACACGTTGTCGTTCCCATCGTTCCACACGCTCCCAATTCCGCCAAATTTCATCTCGAATTATTGCATACCGAAATTCACCCAACACCGTATCTTGTTCGCTTACTCACAAACAAAGGCAGGGCAATAAGTGCACTTTGTCTCAACGTTCGATTATGAAGATGTCCTCAGGTCTGTAAAAAAAAAAGTTTTTTCCTCGTTGATTATGTACATTGTGACGGTTAGTGTGTATGACTTTTTAACTGAAATGCGCTTGCAAAACCGGCTTTTGCGCAGAACCCGTTTCACCTAAACTGGCAAAAGCACAGCATGCAGTCGGTTAGGAAGACGCAAACTGAGGTGTGCGACCCAACGGCCAATCAGATTTTCACAAATACGCAAAGCTGACGATATCGTTCTGTTAGTGGATTTCATTTCCTTCAACTGATGTGGACCAATCAACGTCCAGAAAAACAGTACCAGGCTTAGAAGGATAAATGAATAGTGACCGATATGTTCCTGGTAATTGACTTGTGGTAGTGAATAAATTTGTCCACGTGTTATCTCTCGCGGACATCGCTGATTCATTCGATGAGTTCATTCCGGGATAACATGAACTCGTCGTACTGCCGAGAATGACACGATAAAATCTATCAAAACAAAACAGGACACGGCTTTAGCGAAACGACCGCGTAAAAACACCGGTGGGAAGCGTAAGATCGCACAGGAACTGAAAGAAAGGTATACTTACGTCGCATTTGTGATGGGTGCAATTCGGTCGAGCCTTTTTCATCCCAAGTGGCAGAACTGGAATCCATTCGATCGGCTTGAACACCGTATTTTCCCCCGAATCCAAATGCGTAGTCTTTTTGTGACGGGTGAGGAGCAACTTGTTCTTTATGGTCCCAACCAACAGCACACTTTTATCGCATCAACGGGGTGATGATGATGTGCGGCGGTGGGTAAACAGGTAAACACAGAACGAAGTAATGAGTTGAAGGTTGGACACAGAAGAAGACTACACTCGAAATTAGATGTGCAGTTAAACGAACAAATATCAGCGAACCCTAAATTGATGAGAACTGAGGCAACGAAAGACTCAGAACTGTAACCAACGAAAATTACTTGCATGATGGGTGGTGGCGCATTGGTTTAATCGCTGTCACCGGCGTGCTTTGGTCCCTGTGGTCCAAGGTTTGAGCTCCGTCACCGCCACCCAACTTTGGTGGTAGACAGCTTTGCTGTCGCCCGGTTCTATACCACACCTGACACAGCGTGGTTTGCCACTCTCAGTCCTGGGGATTAGATTGCCGGTTACCAAAACCGAATAGCAGATCTTCGTGACTATGGGTTTCAACCCTGTCTGCTGTCCATTACACACCGGTGTGTAATAAAAAATTTAAAAAAAAAAATAGAGCGTACAAAGATTTCTAAATCTATTGGTACATGTAACATCACAAAGCGTAAAATAAATCTGGATAAACCGAGTAAATCTGAGAAATGCCTTCCTCAGTCGAAACCTCACAAATCTGGATCGGATAGGTAGACGGAAATCGGGGCATGAAAGTGTGTTACGAATTAGTGGCTGGTTGCACCAAGTGTCCTCGAAGTAAATATATGCCAATTCCTGTCTCACAAAAATTCAAGTAACAAGGGCTTTCACTGCCCGATCCCAGTTTATGTTGGACGGACGAGGAAAAATAAACAATGAAAAATACTGTTTTGATAGCGTGCAGAGTAGTGGAGCCGTCTTATCCACAGTGAAGATCCGCGTGCATAGTTTTCAAGTTGAGATAAAGTTTGCGTTAACTTAGCCCCCTATGTAGAGACATACAATTTTTACCCTTTCATTTTTAAGATAATCTGTATTAGCAGTCGTACTCCGTAATATTACCTTAAAACGACAAACACTACATTAAATTGAACTGAATTCTGCGGCAAAAGGATGCTTTATATGAAAGTTTTAGGCTTCTGTGAAAGGATAAGCTTGCTACACTTGATGATTCGCTAATTGGGATAGGTGTTATGCATATTGTTATCATACAGGTATCTCAGAAACCCTTTTCGGGACGTTGAATGAACACTCGTGGGTGTGTGCCTCGATACTTCTGACAACATTGTAAGCACGGTGCCTGGGATTTATGCTTTTCTATCTTGTAATTCAGACAGTAAAAGTACCGTGCACAGAATTTTTACCGAGAGAAACGTTCTGTTTTATTACAATTCAGGGAAGCTAATCGGTTTGGTTTTAATAACTTTCAAAAGTGCCCGAGTACGAAAGTGGAAAATTGGATAGAAGTGAGTCACGGTGGTTGTCTAGACAC